AATGTAACGGAGGAAGAGGTGGGGTTTAGGGCCGGTGTAGGTACGGAAGAGGGATTGTTCCACGTAACCTACAAAGAGGCAGGCGTAGCTTGGGCCCATGCGGGTACCCATGGCTACCCCCTTTGTCTGTAGGAGGTGGGAGGAATTGAAAGAGAAGTTGTTGAGGGTGAGGACGAGTTCGGCTAAGCGGATGAGGGTGTCAGTGGAGGGGGACTGGTCGGGCCTGCGGGACAGGAAGAAGCGGATGGCCTTAAGGCTATCTGCATGGGGAATGCAGGTGTAGAGGGACTGGACGTCCATGGTAAAGATGAGGTGTTGGGGACCGGGGAATTGGAAGTTCTGGAGGAGGTGGAGGGGGCGTGGGTGGTGTCATGGACATAGGTAGGGAGTTCCTGGACCAAGGGGGAGAAAATGGAGTCCAGATAGTTGGAGATCAGTTCGGTGGGGCAGGAGCAGGCGGAGACAATGGGTCGACCAGGGCAGTCAGGTTTGTGGATTTTGGGAAGGAGATAGAAGCGGGCAGTGCTAGGTTGGGGAACGATGAGGTTGGAGGCCGTGGGTGGGAGGTCACCTGAGGTGATGAGGTTGTGGATGGTTTGGGAGATGATGGTTTGGTGCTCAGGGGTGGGGTCATGATCAAGGGGGCGGTAGGAGGAGGTGTCAGAGAGTTGGCGTCTGGCCTCGGCGATGTCGAGGTCAGTGCGCCATACTACAACTGCGCCTCCCTTGTCCGCGGTGAGGTTGGGATGGGAGCAAAGGGCTGCACGTTCTGCGGCGGAGAGGTTGGAGTGGGTGAGAGGGGTGGAGAGGTTGAGGCGATTGATGTCTCGACGGCAGTTGGAGATGAAGAGGTCGAGGGAGGGTAGGAGGCCTTGGGGTGGTGTCCAGGAGGAGGGGGTGTGTTGGAAGCGGGAGAATGGGTCAGTAGAGGGAGGGTTAGGTTCACGGTTGAAGAAGTAAGCATGGAGGCGGAGGCGGCGGAAAAACTGCTCTATGTCCAAGCGTGAGCGGTATTCGTTGATCTGTGGGTGGAGGGGGACAAAGGTGAGCCCTTTACTGAGGACTGACCATTTGTCCTCAGTAAGGGGTAGGTCTGGAGGGATGGTGAAGACTCGGCAGGGCTGGGTGCTGCTGTCTCCTCTGGAGCTGCTGGCTGTGGAGGCAGTGAGCGGAGCGACGTCGGCGGTGGGCAACGCAACTCCGCCCACCGCCGACGCCGGAGTAGTTCAGGGTCTTTTTTGCGAGCAGAACGTAGATGTTCTGCGAAGCGGTCGCCAAGTCTACGCTTTGTTTTCCCAATGTAGAGGAGACCACATTGTGAGCAGCGAATGCAGTAGACTAGATTCTTGGAAGTGCAGGTGAAGTGTTGCTTCACCTGAAAGGTATGTTTGGGCCCTTGGATTCTGGGGAGGGAGGAGATAAATGCGCAGGTGTTGCGCCTTAGCCGGTTGCAGGGGAAGGTGCCGTAGGGTTGTGGGGAAGTGTTGGGGGTGAAGAAAGTGTGGACCAGGGTGTCCCAGAGGGACGGTCCCTGCGGAAGGCAGACAACGGAGCGGGGGAGAGAATGTGTCTGGTGGTGGCATCTTGCTGGAGGTGGAGGAAGTGGCATCTGATGATCTTCTGGATGTGGATGCTGGTGGGACGGCAGGTGAGGATAAGGGGAACCCTATCGCTGTTGCGGGAGGGAAGAGAAGGGGGGAGGGCACAGACAATTTTTAACTCTTTCTGCTGTTATAAAAACCTATATTTGTTCAACAATGTTCTTATGCCGAAGAAACCTGCCATGCTTACCTGGTCTGATTAACATGATTCCTATGTCCCTCACCATCACAGTTGGCTCTGAACCACCCTCAAATTGCCTGGCAAATCACTGTTTATCACACTGCTACTGAGGAAGACTTCAGATGAAATTTTTTTTTTTTTTTTTTTTTTTTTTAAAAAAGGCAGCTCGAATAACAAATGCCTGTCTTTCCAGAGGTGTTCAGTCTCTGAAATATCTCTCTGGTGTCATAGTATCAGATGGACCTTTTTTTTAAAAACAAAGGACATTTTAAATTTAATAATTCACAGGGCGTGGACATAGGTAATAAAGCTAGCATTTATTGCCCGACTCTTGCTCTTGAGAAGGGGTCGTGAGCTACCTCTGTAGTCTATATGGAGTAAATCATAACGATGCAATATAGACCAGATTAAGCAGAGATTTTCTGACCTAGGTTCAAATTTAAAGAGAAATTTGAAAAGTAACAACATTGGTATTAAAAGCTGGAAAAATTGGCATGGTGGTTGTGTTACATTGGTTATCCACAGAAGCTGAAGAGAGGAAGCTGTGAGAATGATAGATGTGTCAAAACTGCATTTTCAAAAAGTTACCAAGATGTCTAACTCCAATGTCAACACAGGCAGAAGTGATAAATAGATATTTCAGGACTTTATTGAATACTATATTGTTGCACATAATATCCTCCATTCTATATCCTTAAGTTAATTACTTTTGACAAAGCCCAATTCGAATAAATATGAACAGAATTGATTCCAAACCTCAAAAATATCAAAATTAAATCTGAAAGACCATTACTTTGAATGTACTTCTTACAAAAGCCATGCAACTATACAACATTATACAATAGACACAAGTGAATGTAAACTAATGAGATTAAAAAATAATAAGTTAAATTCCATTTTTTAAATTCTGGATTAGTTAATCTATTCACAAATGCTAAAAGTATCACTTAGCTTTCCATCATACCTGGGCTTTTGTGTAAAGTGAATGATTCTGGAAGTAAAATATTAGACTTTCTTCCTGATTTTGATGAATACTTTGTTACACTGCTTGATTCATACTCGCCAGTAGTTATGTGCATCTTGTGCGCAACTGGATTTAGACCATCAGGAATCATGCGTGGACTATTGGAGTAAAGCTGAAAGGACTTGTTGCCATTTCCTAGAATAGTTTTATAAATGTTCCGTTTGGAACACTGACTCTGGTTGTAGTTCTATAAACACAAAAATATCCATTAACAGAAAATAGCTTCAAAAATAATAAAGCATCACTATTTGTTCTCCCATGGTATTATTCAAAATAACTTCTTCCTGTAACTTTACTTGCCTTTCACAACTGCACTTCTCATCTCCCTACCTGGTTGTTTCTTTCCTTTCCAGAAAATGCACCATAAACCAAAATGCAAATATACATAACAAAACTAGATCCTTCTTTCCCCACAGCCCCCGAGCATGCAACTCTATGTACGCTCACATACACAGAGAATTCCATTCCAGACAGTCTTCCATTCCTTCCCTCCAATAATTAAATGTATGTGATTATGGAAAATCATAAAACCACACAGGCCAGTCAGGAAATCAATAAAAACAAATCCACTGCAACAATTAGCTATACCACTTTAGAAAGGTTTGTCAGTTCAATCCACTTTAATAGGAAAAAATTACAAGCAAAGTAAAATATCAATTAGGCTTATTCTTACAAACCCAATCTATAGAATTTCTTATATATTACTTCAATTCGCCCATTTGCAACTCATTTCCTATCTAATGAACACAAAATAACAGACTTACGTAAACATTCCCTTACATCTTAAGATGAATTTACATGCAAACTTTTAATGCGCATTTAAGGTATTTGAGAATTTCATTCTTTTTTGCTGTCCTTGTCAGAAATTTGACATTTTGAAGAGAGAGAGAGAGATTATATTTGCCTTTAGGCTCTTAAATGCTGAACTAAATTAAGGACAGTTAAGTCATTAGGGTAGAGGGGTCATTAACTCAAACTAATCATGGTACAGGTCCTTAGATGGATTTTAATGCAATGCACATAAAGACAAAATTTTTTTGCAATGGTCACAACATTGACTATATTTTCCCCAAGTTTTCTTCTTAAATTTACCCGTTCTTCTCGTCCCTCTGCAAGGAGAACCACAATTCTGCCTTGGCGCTTCCGGCCAGTCCGACCCATTCTTTGTACCAAGCGAATGGGGCTCTTTTGAGCATCAAAGCAAATAATGAGGTCTACTTCACCAATGTCTAATCCTTCTTCACCAACACATGTAGAAACCAATGTGTTATAACCACCTTCCCGAAAGCGTTTCATAACCTGACAATAGGAAATATGGAAATAAGAAATTTTTGAAGCAATGTAAGTGCTATATACAAATAAGATGATCTTTGTCTTTACAAAATGAGATCCCAGCAAACTAACATCCTAAAATTTCATTTGCATCCTGTCCAGAAAAACATCAACTATAAATAAATGTGCAGGAAACTTTCAGGTCATCAATATTCTGAATTCAGCTATTGAATACATACAATTTCTTTTTTAATTTACAGCAAGACATTTATGATGCAACTGCATCTCCAAATCCTCGAGAACAATATTCAAAAATTACACAAGGTATGAATAAACTAAAATGAAGCTAGATTTACCATTTTCAGGAAAAACAATATTAATCATGAACTACCACTAGTGAATATGGAATGAAATCATAGTCAATTACCTATGGCAATGCACATCTATAGTTTCCAGGTAATACCAGAGGGTGTGGTTTATTTGTCCAGATGTGTACAGGCATCATTGAGAACATGTAGGAGTGGGCAATTCAGCGTACTCCGCAATTTGATCCAATCTCATCTCAGCCTCAACTCCACTTTCCTGTCCACTCCCGACAACATTTCAACCCATTACTAATGAAAAATCCATTTATCTCCTCAAACTTACACAACGTCCCAGCATCCACCACATTCTGGGCGAGAGAATTCAATAGATTCATGACCCTTTGAGTGAGGTCATTTCTCCTCATAGTTTTGGGATAAAGGTTAGCAGGTTTAAAACAATGACCTTTGATTCTAGGTTGCCCCACATACGAAAACATCTTATGTCAACTTTGTCAATCACCTTTAGCGTCTCATATACCTCAATTGGATCTCCTCCCATTCTTCTAAACTCCAGAAAGCCCTAAACTGCTCAGTCTCCCTTAAAGTAAACCTCCTCACGTCTACAATCAAGTGAACCTCCTCTGAACCACCTTCAACACAACTATATCTCTCCTCAAGTAAGGGGACCAAAATTTGCACACAATATTCCAGGGGCGGTTTCACCAATGCCTTGTACTGTTGCAACAACACTTCCCTACTTTTAAACTCTACTCCTTTAGCAATAAATGCCAACATTCCATTTGCCATACTCCATTTTAAAATAATTTTCTGTTTCTATGATAAAAGTATACATTAAAATTTAGAATGAAAATTGAATAGACTTGTCAGACTGAAAATACATTTGTCCACAGTAGAAAACCACACAGTTGGACCGGTGGTCACAATTCAGGACACATCACATCATGCAGCACCCTCGCCTTTCCTCATCACCAATATTAACACCAACGAACCCCTGGCACAGAATGGGACTCATAATTTAAGTGTATTAAGCTACAAAACAGACTATGCTTTTGAGTTGGATTTGCTGGAGAGATCTAAACTCAAATGATCAGTCAGGTTTTTAAATAGTAGAAAAGGCGTCAATAATCTATAAATAAATTAATTGTTTGATACGGCAGGTTTAACTACAGCCACACATTTGTTGGCAAGGCAGGAAGTGAAGTTACACATTTAGAAAGTTTATTTCTCCTTAGACTGTAATGAAGCTGTAGAATCGATTATGGAGATCTTGAGGGGACTGTTCTCATGCAAGACAGCATTAGAACATAGAACATAACAGCGCAGTACAGGCCCTTCGGCCCTCGATGTTGTGCTGACCTGTGAAACCAATCTGAAGCCCATCTAACCTACACTATTCCATTATCATCCATATGTTTATCCAATGACCATTTAAATGGCCTTAAAGTTGGCGAGTCTACTATTGTTGCAGGCAGGGCATTCCACGCCCTTACTACTCGCTGAGTAAAGAATCTACCTTTGACATCTGTCCTATATCTATCACCCCTCAATTTAAAGCTATGTCCCCTCGTGCTAGCCTTAGGAAAAAGGCTCTCGCTGTCCACCCTATCTAATCCTCTGATCATCTTGTATGTCTCTATTAAGTCACCTCTTAACCTACTCTCTAACAAAAACAGCCTCAAGTCCCTCAGCCTTTCCTCATAAGACCTTCCCTCCATACCAGGCAACATC